GTCTGAGAACAAGGCTTCAGGGTTTGAATATATATAAAAGAATAAATATATTTGAGTAAATCTGCTTAGACTGGGCTTATTATTTTCAAATTGTAAACTTTAGTAACTCCTTGCTTCTGAGAACTTTGAATTTTCTTGCCTTTTTTCTGCTTTATCAGTTCCTGGTGGACCAGATTTCTCTCATTTGTTTCATCTTCCAAGGCCTTTTTATACTGTGCTGCTTCTCTGGATAGGGTGTTCAGGTTATCTTCAGCTTGTGTTCTTTCTAACTCCAAACGGTGAATCTTTTCTTGAAGAGTTTTTAAGGCTAAAATAAGAGCTGTTGAAAAAAAAATTGCTTGATATTATAAATGAGAATATTTGAATACTTACAATCATATAAAAGTTACCAGTATATTTTTGCTAGCCAGAAAAATGTATAATACATATTTCTGATAAAAATGGAACATAACAACAAAAATTCTAGAAAGGAACAAATTTTTTTCTAACATATCTTATAAAAACAATATATGTGATTGCATTTAGTGATTTTTCTAGGTTTGAGAAAGCTAATGACGTAAGACTTAAAGATAATGTACAGTCTAGGAGGCATAGGAATCTGAGTATGAATAAAGAAAATAAAAATATAGTACCCACTAACATAAAATTTAGATTTAAAGTTAAAGGTTCTTTTCAGTGATTAATGTGTTCAGTTTCAATCAAACTACAAACATATATTATTCATTTGTCCAAGATAGTGTTAATATTCAGGACATATGAACAGTTTCTTCCACTGGAAAAAAATTGTAACCTAGTGGTTTACCTGATATCAAGCTTGAAAGATTCTAAGTAGCACACATAAACAAACTACTAAAATTTTTTTCAGTTATATTAATATCATCATGATTCAGAGAAGTTCAGAGTTATAAAATATTCAAGTATTACCTTACACTTTCTATTCAGTTATAACTTCAAACTAAAACTAGAGATGAATAGACTATAAATAAATGTTATAGGCTATCTTTTGTATAGTTTATATCCAATTAGAAAGATGTTTGCTAGAGATTATCATTTGTTTTTTACAATTAAGATCAAGAAATTATACTTATTGTTCTTTATATGGTACTTGTGGCTGACTCACTGGTTTGGAGTACTATTTCTTGTGGTTGTTTTATTCCACTCCATAAGGCTACCTTTATTAACGGCAACCTTTATCAAAGAATATTAAAAGACAAAGTGATAATCAGCATTTAGAAAGTAATCTGAATCACACAAGGTATGCCTGGGGTCTTAAATATTTTTCTAATTCAGTTTTAACATCCTTCTAAATTTATATTTTAAAAGTTACAATATTTGTATTTTGTAGTTACTCCAATATACTGGTTCCTCAGGAATTTTCAAGGCAATTTTGGATATATGCTACTTCTGAATTTAATCCTCAAATAAGACACAACTATACTTAACTCACTAACATTCTAATCATCTAGTTTAGACGGATTCCAAATCTGACCTTTTATTCTTCAAAGAATTTTCCATTTTCTAATGATGTTTTTATAATAAATATGTGATATATGTCATCTTACAGCTGAAGCCAAAATAAAAAATGTTAAATAACTTGCATAAGTTTACAAAAACTTTTAACAACAGAATAGAAATGAGTAGTTTAAGGTTAAAAACACAATCTGTTATTTTTACATAAAAATAAAACATTTTATATAACACACTTTATACCACTCCCCTATTTTTAAGTGATATTTTAATGTTAATATTACCTTGGCTATTTGGACTTTGAAGCATTTTAGGAGAGGTAACTTTAAAGTTCACAGAGTGGTGATTCCGAGGTAATTCATCATTCTGGGTGAATGATGGAGCAAAAATTCTTTCTGGAGGTTTAATATAGCTTCCTACTATACTATGCATTAATTCAGAATCCATTATCTGTAGAGAATAAAGAAATTATATAGTACAGCATCACTCTTTCTTATTTGAATGACAAAAACATTAAAAGTTCAAATGAAACTAACATAAATACAAAAACTGTATCCTTCTGACCTTACTTGTCACAAATTCAACTATAATAATATAAACTCAGCAATAAAGTAAAAATGACTATTTACTGTATAATCAGTATGGACAATTCTGCCTGATTTGCAATGAGCATCTGGCCCTGGAGTGAGCATATGGGTAATGTGAATTTTCTAGTTTCTCGGTTGATCATAAGTTCAGATACATCTCATCATAGGAGCACCTCTTTATAAACAAAGTGATTCTAGAGTTCAAAGAGAAAATACATATTTTTAAAAGACAACACAACTTTTAAAATATAATTTAATTCTCCAGTTGAACTCCACTGTACTAGCATCCCAAGGGATTTTTCAAGAGTAATTTTGGATATATCAATTTCTGAATGGAACCCTTAAATGAGACACAACTCCATTTAATGCATTAGCATCCTAATGATCTAGTTTAGATGAAGAATCTAAAATGGCCGTATTTTGTCATTTAATCAGTAGCTTAGCATGTAACAAGGCTTTCCAAATTAGACCAACTCTTTAAAACTATAAATCTGTTCAAGAATAGGTCACTTTCAGCATCCACCTGGAAAATTCACAGTACCTGTCTCTTTGTAGCTTCAAAGTGAATCAGTACACAAGAAGTCACCCCTTCCACACTGTCTATGATGGGCTTACTGCAGTTTCCTGGAAACACCACTCCCTTCCACTTCTGGGCCTCCCCATATGCTGTTTTGGGGTCCTCGTTCCCTGACTCTCCAAGACGGGGCTCAGTGACCTTTGGAGCCGCCCCAGTTATATCAGACAGCACTGTTCTTGTGGCCTCAACCATTGGTTTCTCTCTGACAGGAAGGGGCTGTGTCTTTTTCAATCTTGTACTACTCAGTACCCCAAAAGGTGACATGTTTTGAAACACATCTATTCTGCAATGTGAAGAATTAAAATCTAATTTGGTTATGAGTCCACTGAAGACCTTTCTCACCACCCTGCTTCCCAAAAGGAGTTATTTTAAGCCCTAGCCCCGGTGCTCAGCTGGTTAGATCACTGTCCCATAGGCCAAGGCTGTGGGTTGGATCCCTCAGGGCACGTACAAAAAGCAACCAATGAATGCAGAAATAAGCGGAACAAAGCGATGCTTCTCTCACTCTTCAAACTCAATCAAGAAACATTTTTAAAGGAATCATTTAAAACCAACAGTACTTTGCCCTGACCGGTTTGGCTCAGTGGATAGAGCGTGGCCTGCGGACTGAAAGGTCCGGGGTTTGATTCCGGCCGAGGGCATGTACCTTGGTTGCAGGCTCATCCCCAGTAGGAGGTGTGCAGGAGGCAGCTGATCGATGTTTCTCTCATTGATGTTTCTAACTCTCCATCTCTCTCCCTTCCTCTCTGTAAAAAATCAATAAAATATATTAAAAAAAATAAAAACAACAGTACTTTGTAAACAAATGGTTGAATCCTTTCACTATACTACAATTGGAATATTTTTATGTGTCTTTTTTCACAAAGCATCCTTTAATCCTGCAAAAATCCATATCAAGGAATACTGGGTATTCTTTGCCCCTTAGCCTCATACAACATGGATTTGACAACCCGCCTTCAAGGGTCTGCTGGGGAGGTCACTTGGCTGAGCAAACAAAGCACAGAGCACCCCGAGGCAGTATCAAAGGCGCAACTGCACAGGGATCCCTAACCCACTCCGCACGAATCCACCAAAAAAAGCGGAACAGAGGCAGCGGTGCAGAGCATCCCTCTAGCCTGGACTAATGCGACCCCTCGGGATCGCCTCCTTTCCTACATCTGCGCTTTCACGCGCCCTCGGATTTGGGCACCCGGACTAGTCGTTCTCACGCAGATGGCTGGAAAAAATTCCCTGGACAGCCCCAGATGGCTTCGCCTCCAGAACCTCAGAGGAAATGGAGGAAGGAAGAATCCTGTGGAGGGAAAAGGGGCAGCTACGCCTGGGGTTCTCTCACCAAGGCGATGCTCTCAATCAACCTCCGTGAGTGCTAACCGTTGACTCGCAGGCATACACAGGAAACCTCGCAGTGGCTCCAGGGGGCTGTAGTTTCTGTCGCAATCAGAACGCGCCAGCAGCATCAAAACTACATTTCCCAGAAGTCAATGTAATGACGCCCTAGCTCCTGAAAGAAAAGGTTTGGCGTAGTTAAAGAGACCGTCACTGTTTTTAGGCTAACCTTAAAATTAGATTAAGTTTCTTCCAGAAATGCATCTTTCCCTTTCCTGTGCTTGCCTTGTCTGTGAAAGTTACAGTACTTGAACTCTTCCTTACTTTTGTTTCTCCTCCAGTCCGCAGCATCCAAACGTCCAGGCACGCGTTAAACGCCCCCCGCGGCGGACTAAGTGCCGTTTAAGACGCACGCGCCTCGTTCGCCATGACGCATGCGTAGCAACGGGCAGCAGTTGGCGGCAGCGCGCGGACGAGGGTCCGGAGGTAGCCCGCGGAGGGCGGGGCTTTTTTCCAATGGCTTTGCCTCCGCGGGTCGCGTCTGCCTGGGCGGGGAAGAGGGCGCTAGGGCAGGGACGGCTCCAGGGCTCCTGGTTTGTGCCGGGCGGAGAAAGGGGAGGGACTGGGGGTGAGGACCCCATCTCCCCTCCCCGCTCCCGCCCTCAGGGGCGAGCCCCACCGATGGGGCTGGGCGA